TTCACTCAAAAAGAATGAAAAGTCAACCTTTACATTTGAACGTTTAAAGAATGGTGAAAAAATGCAATTTTTTTACCTTGCAAACTTTTCCTTACTCTCAATGAAAACTTGAAGAATTGCATATTTGGTGAAAAAAAGAGAGAAACTGGCAAGTTTAATCTTTAAATTATAAATGGTTGCGATTTACGATTTACATGCATAATTTAGGAAATCAAAGAAATAATGAAAATTTTCGTTTCTTGCGCTGTTCCAAAAAATAGATTAATTGACTTTGACTTTTGATTGAAAATGTATGCAAAATTCATATACGTGATAAATACATTATGCATGTTTTGCTCATGTAATTGATTATGTAAACTTGCAATGGTTTACATTGAGGATGAAGTAGCAAAATGGGATTTAAGTTGATTCTTAGAAAATGATAATTTCCAAATTCTCACCATTAGAGTCAGTTTGTAGTTTGCTGTTTCAAGCAAATGACATGCAAAATGGAAACAAACTTGCAAATCATTGGAAATGCCTTTTCACTTTTCAATTGTCGAAATGAATCAAGTTGCAAAATTCAATAAAATATTCTGAATTCTGTATGAGAAAGGAATTTTGTGGAATGATCAATCTATTAGGAATGAAGAATGGTGAGATTAAAGAGAGAACCAACAAACTTGAGAAAATCTCCATTGAATGATTGTTAAAACTCTTTCGGTTATGCTATTCTAATAAAGTAAAGGTGATCAAGTTGTGGTTCATTGAAAGCCATTTATCAACATTGTCTTTATTTGCTTTATTAATTTCTTGTTCAATGTGTGGAAGCAGCTTTAATGGGTGAATAAGTGAAGAGCTGCGAATCTGCGCCAAAGCAAATTTTGAATTAAATACGATCGAGCTTCATCAATCCTCTTGTTTACCCAAAAGTAATTCATCACTTGAGAAATTTTTGAATAAAAAAAAGTTGTTAAGATGAAAATGGAAGTAATAAAATTATGAAAATTTTATGCAAATTGATCATCTAAGTTCAACTCTTAATCTTTGATTATAAATGGATTCAAAAGAAAAATTCAAAGATTGAAATCTCAGCTCTTCCAATCGTTACAAAAATGAACTTTCATTCGAACTGTTATTAATACGTTCATTTCTAAGGATTTCTTGAGACTAACTTGAAAAGGGCCAAAATTTGAGTTTTTTCACAGATTTTCAATTTTCTCTTCAACTTAATTTTCAATCGATGAATCTGCCAAAATCGAGCTTTTTGATGAGTTTTAGAGTGATTGTTGTGACGGTTCCTAAGGTCAAGATCAAGCTTGATGAGAATATCTGTTCAATATCATGTCGATCTTGTAAAATGAAGATTGTTGCTACATGCAAGGTTGTCATGAATGTAAAAGGAAAGGTTTCAAGTGTGGCTTACTCATGTATCTTTCAAGTTGTAAATCTTATAGTTTCACAATTATTGTCTCCAAAAGGTGGTTTCACAAAAGGTAGCTTAGATTGCCTCTAAATAAAGTTACTGTAAACTGTTTAATGGAAAGAAGAGTAAAATAATTAATTGTATGTTTACCAAGTTTTACGGTTTCTCTTCACCTTTCATTACACTTTTGTTTCTTCATCTAATTTTGTGACTCTCTCTTTTTTTTATTTCATCATTTGTTAAATGTGTAATTTGGGAGTGTAAAGTCTAAAACTGATCCCAGGAAAGGTGAATTTATGAATTTATCAGGAAAACGGAAACACAAAGAAAATGTAATTTCACACCGCACCTTTTGAGTAAAGGTTTTTACTTTAAAGGTAAACTTGAAGCATAACATAAATGCAATCTCTTTTCATTGCTTTCCACTAAATGGTCAAGACAGGAAAACTCGCTAAATACAGACTAAACAGTTACTCAAATTAAAAGCAATGTTTACTAGAAAAGATGAAAATTTCAATATTCGGTTCCCTTAATTCGAGCAGTTTAATTATCTCATGAGAAGAGCAAAATTTCGATTCATTTGAAATCAACTTTTCTATTTGATATTTTCATTCAATTTCCTCGAAATAGCCCTTCATCAAGCTCTTTGTTCATTTTAGTTGAAAGTCGATTGACTTTGAATTTTCTTCAACATTTCGATTTGCTTTTTTGGGTGAAGAGATTTTTAATTTTGGTGAAAAGATGTTTAAATGGCTTCGAAAAGGTGGAGCATTGTATTCTGCTCGTTAAACAAAGCCAACATTAGTTAGATTTAGAAGGCAATTTGAATCACTAATTGCTTTCTAATGAAATGATCAACATAAGATTAACTTTTAATCTAAGGAGAAAGCATTCAAGAGTGATTACATTGAAAAAGTAATTGTTTAAGTATTCAAGTTTCGAGATCGAACATCATTCTCTAGTTTTGTATCATTTTTTTCTTGCGAAGAGAAGAGTTATTTTAATCTTTTTTTTCGAGTAAAATTTTCTCGAGCATTCAGTTTTAATAAACATTGAGATTAATTAAAATGAAAAAGGTCTCAATTTGTTATCAAAATTATTGACATTTTGAAAAATTCTGCATTTCTCAAAATATAACTCGATATTTGGCAAACATTTAGCATCATTTAATCTCGTTTACTTCTAGAGTCTTTCAAGAGTCCATCATGGGAAAAAGACAGAAGTCAGAGTTCAGTGTTGAGCCTTTTAGGATAAACACAAATATTCAATCGCCTGGACACAATACATTTACGATTAAGATTATATTGATAATCATGAAAAAAGCACGAGACAAAAGGTTCTCACGAAGGGAATCCAACATTCAATGTTTAAAGTTAGTAATTAATAGACTCAAATGTGTATCAAATATTCAAAATTATTGCGTGATAAAAACTCGACAATCTAAACGATTAAAGAATGAATAATTATAATCGTTTGAAAATAAAAATCATTTAATAGCAAATAATTAAATGAACTTTCTCTCAATTCTAATTATCAACCAATCAAATCAAACATTGGCCTCATTGACTTTCGTTCAAAAGCAAAGTTTTTCATTTTATATGAAAATTTTGATCAACTTCGACGCTTGACTAGAAAAGTAATTTCTCTAAAATCTCAACGATGCTGAGCCTACAAATTGATCGATAAAACTGTCGAAATCAATTTCTCCAAAATGATCACAAGTCAATCGGTCTTGAGCCATCTATAATTCATATTGACACAATAACGAGCTAACAAAATGTGCCAACAGATAATTTTGTGATGACAGTTTGAAATTGATTTAGTAAAGCAAATAATGACTGAAGTTCAAAAAAATAGAGTTTGAAGGTTACGATAAGTTTACTTGCATCTTGGTAGTTGATATGTTTAAAAATTAATAACAATGTCTTGAATTGAATCAATCAAAATGAACCTGTAAAAAGAATTGAGGTGATGAGGGAATAAAAAAGAAAAAATTGTTTTCTTTTTGCTTTTCGTTTTTCTTCTTCTTCCTCTCCCCTCTTCTTCTCCATCATCTTCTTCCTCTTCTCCATTTCTCATCATCATTACCTTTTAATGATTTAACCAAAAAGGTAAAATCCACAAGAAGAAAGAGAGCGAGAGAATAAAGTTCAAGATAAATGACAATGAAAGCCAAAACTCGAAGAGAAAATAAAAGTAATGATGATAGACATGATGAAGAAAGAAAATTGTTGAATCAAGAGTAAAGTGAAAAAAAAGTTCAGGTAAACATAGTAAATTAATTTTATACCCTCAAGGTGAAAGAATGAAAAATAAAGAAAGAAAATGAAACCAAACATGAAATTTACAACAAATTTGGCTTATCAGTTGCAAGCTGAAAATGTTCATTGGAAAAGCATTTTTCGCCTTTTCCATCAATTCCTTGCAATAACTTTTCTTCTTTTCCTTTTCTTGTTTATTCGCTATTTTCATGCTCAACTTTATCTTATGAGATTTACTTTTGACTCTAAACTTTTCAACTATCAACAAGTTCAATTGCAACGAATTGTTTTTTTGCCTGTAAACTCTTGAGAAATCGTAGACAAAAGAAAAGAAAAGAAGAAATTTCATTTCTCAAAATTCCTTGTTCAACTTTTCAACTCGACTGTTTTAGTATCTTCAAGATTCATCCTTTTCATTATCATGAGTTCAAACAATATTTTGCCAATAAATTTGTTGGACCAAGAAAAATTTCACAATTCAATTGAAGCCAATCACAGCGAAAAAATTCCAGTCCATTGAATCAAATCTGAATTGCCTATTTGCTCGTCACTTTATTCATTTCTGTTTTTACCTTTTCCATTAAATATTGTTTGAAAGTCACTCAATTGTTGCCTGGAAAAGGCATCACTTGATTAGCTTATAAACGCTTTTGTCTTTAACCTTGTTATCGACTTGTGTTGCTCATAACTGGGAGGTTAAAGTGACTCCAAGAATAGATGCTTATGGGCTTGAAAATTGTCCAGTCAATTGTCATAATTAACAGTCGCAATGAATATAAATGATGATTAAATTTTGGTACAAATATTAATCTCAAGAGTTGCTCGCTTGTCGTGAAATAATCAGTTTGATCAATATCAAGATTTACACTGAAATGAATCTTTTCTTCTTCTTTTCCTTTCCAGAATCAGAATTGCAATATAAATATAAATCTTTCGACTTTCATCTTTTATTCTTTCTCATCCTCTCATGTATAATATTATATACAAAAATTGTATTGTAACCACTTAACTGTTTAACATTTTCATTCCAATCACTTTAACCTGATAAACACTGTTATAAACATCAATTTATGTGAAGAAAACGAGAGATTAGTCTCAACGATTTCTTCTTTTGTTTTACTTCTTCTTCTTTTCCCTCCTTTTACTGTTCTGTTCAATCAATCACTGAACAGTTACTTTTCTCGAACTTTACGTTTTTCCCTTTTCAGTCTTTTTCGTGTACATTTTTCTTGTTCCGTCTAAACTTCAACTCACAGTTGAAGCGCATCAAGATTGTTGAGATAATTTGAAAGTAAAATGTTTGTAAAGGAAAAATAATTTCAAGATAAACTTACCTCCTCTTCAGGAACATTGTTCACTGAATCCATACTTTGGCTGAGAGTCATTTGTTTGATTGGGATAACTTGCGATGATTGACTGATGATGAAATAGACACACAAAAGTTGCTCAATAAGAATCGGTTGGATTTGAATAACACATGAAATACAAAAAAATAATGAATATTCCTTGAGTGTGGCGCAATTTGGGGAAAACTTTTCTCTCTCCTTATGCTTTTTACCTTAACTGTTCATTGATCGTATAATAACTTGAATGAAAATGTTTGCTGTTTGTCAAAAGCTATGTCCTCTTGCGCAGTGAGCGCATTATCATCACTCCAAAGGTAAATGCGCAAATAAGATAAGAACAACGTCTGCAGCGCAGATGGCTTTTCTTCTGTCGATATCACCTGGACAAGGTCAACATAAAAGACACGCTCCATCCACACGATAACCATCTGTTTCTAGTTTTTATGTTTATCTTCTCTCTTCAGTCCCATCAGAATTTCCTTATAATTGTAAAATGGTTAATCGGCCAATTTTATTTTCCTAGCTATTAATAAGTTTCTTTGGTTTCATCACTTTTTTTCTGTTCGACTCCAACAAGGGCTGTAACTGTATATTTTTGAGGCTAACTGGGCTAAGTTTATCGATATGATCGATGGTCACGTGAGGGTTGAGTTAATTTTATGCAAAAAATTGTTATTAATGGTTAAAAGAGGAAGAAAGGAGGGAAACAGTTACAGTTAAATTTAATTAACATTGTCTTTTAACCGAAACATGTCATTGGATTGGTAACATTTTTATGTGTTCTGTGGTGACATCTATTATCCATGATTTTATTTAAAGCAGTTTTCATGATTCATGATTTGTTTTATTGATTAGCTATTTTAGATTGCCATTGATTACCATCGAGTCTCCATTGAACAGATTTTATTGGCTTTGGATTGGAATCTATTTTACAATCAAAGTAAACATTATTTCCTTCCTGAATTGTTGTTGATAATGTTGATGAATCAAATTCAAGTTTATCAAGGTGGGAAATGATAGACAATATGACTAGAAAATTGCACCCAAAAAGGGGCCAAAATCCATGAAAGAGTAATTAGTTTTTACGGTAACCAAAAGTCGAAATGAAAGTTCATCAATAACAGTGTAACAACTCTATTAAATCAACTTTTTGTGCAAAACAACAAAATTCTGCGTTAATAAATAGACAAGAAATAACCTTCCAACTCAAATTTGATAGGAGGAAAACTTTTTTCGAAACTGTTGCTTTTAAAAAAATTCGAGTGGCCAACATTTTGGAAACTCACATTGAACATCTAATTGAAGTTGACCCGATATCTGTGAGTTTAGTATTTTTGGATTCTCAGCAATACAGGATAACATGGCACCGTTATGAGACTTGTTTACTTGAATTGTTATTCGACTGGTTACTACTTGGTCACCTGATGAATGGTCAATCAAATGGAAATGAAGGGAAATGTGTGTTGATATGAATGAGATAAAGACATGTTGAGGTGTAAATAGTGATAATTGAATTTTACCTGATATTCCAGTTGAATGTGTTTTACCATCAAAAAGCCAATAGACGTTGGGCTTTGGTCTTGAACCAATAGTTTTACATTCAAATGTAACTTGTTTAGAGCCCAATCGTTTCAAGTAAAGACGCTGTAAGCACGAGCGTAATGCTTAATTATCAGATTTGACGCCAGTTATGCGTTTGATAAAATGTATGCGCGCTACACGCCCGTTTAAATTTCTAGCAGCAAAAAGATTCCCCCACCTGACTCGATCCTTTCACACTCTTAATTGTTAATCAAAATTGACCAACTCTACAACCACTGAGCTATTTGATTTAAAAAATTAATCAGAATTTATGAAGTGTATTCGATAAGCAGACATTGTTACTTTTGCTTGAGTGAAAATTATTGTGTTAAACGCAAAAAACGCAAAGAGGCAAACAATTCTGCGTGTTAACTTTATGCGCTGGCCTTACGCTCTCTCTAGTTTGCTTTTGCCATAAGACTTGGTTCAATTGGGGAGGCAATCAAAATTAATGATAATTGAATAATTGATTGGAAAAGAAAAGATTGGACGTTAACTTTGATGTGGCAAATCTAAGTAGCCGTTAAATTATTGAGAATATTTCAACAGTTTTTTGTAGATTTGTAAATAAGAGTATGAAAAATGTCTGGTGAAAATTTGAAATTTTTTGACAGAAGATTCAGTTAGTTATCGAACATGGAACAGCGCAGATCAAGAAAATGTTTTTTCATTTTATATTTCTTTGCATCACTGAGCGCATTGAAAATGTACCTGATACAATCAGGTTTCGTGAAAAACCGAAATTTGGAAAGAAAATGATGTTTAAAGCAGCAATGAGTGAATATAGTCATTCACAAGTTAATGATCAAAATGGGCGAATTGGAAAGGCCAAAAATAGTTCTAAACTATTTGATAAACCATATTTCTGCCGTCAAATGCAAAATTTTGTCTCAAAAGAGACCTATTCTGAGTAAAACGGTAAAATGTCATGAATTGTAAACGCGAATGTTTGACAGATAAACTGATCTAAAAATTTTATATTTTGTCTGCATATTAGCTCATTTACAGCCTCGCAAAATTGTCGTCCAATCTTTTTTCCGAACAGGTTATGCGCTTCGGTAGGTTTTACTGTGAACCAAAGATCGTTAAAGGATCGTGAAAGCAATGGCACTTCTCTTGTCAGTTTATCATCTTGCACTTGTGTTTATTCGCAATGACTGAAGAATCAATCTGACGATATCAGAACAGTGAAAATAAAGTATCTTGTGAACCTGCATAAAACGTGCGAATCTTCAAATTTACATACAGACTTAAAGTCTTTTGGTTTATTGCCCTTTTCAAATTATTTTTATTATATATATTTATTTTTTGATGATATTCATCTTTCATATTTATCTGCATTTATTATCCAAATATTGCATTGATTTAATTGATACATGCCTTAAATTTATGTCGGATTAAATTGGACAATTGCTCCTTAAATGCATCCTCTTTGACATACAATGCTTGATTCAACGTTTACTTGAATTTCATCCACCGAGGTTTAAATCTGAGACATCTGGGTGAAAGCCAGGCAGATTGCCTCAGAGCTGAATTCCCCTGAAAATCACATTAATTTGGTATTAAAGTCAAGGGAATGCTTTAAGATTTGTAAGCGATCTTCGATACATTGATATCGAAAAGGCAACGCAGCTTCAATCGATACATCAGTCATCACCGAGGAAGCACAGCAATGTGAGAAAGCTAAAGACCTCAACTTTTGTATTTCTCATTCTGAGGATGGTTTTTCCATTGCGAAGTATCTTTTTCGATAGCACCCTACTCAGTGAAAAAGACTTTACGATTAGTCAAATTGTGGCTAAACTTAAAGGGATTTTCGATCTATTTATGGACATGATTAGACTACAGTGACTACAATTAGGTTGAGCTTTCTAGGAAATTAGCGAGCATTCATGATTGCAGCAGCCTCTTTACTAATAAACTTGAACCAACTTGGATCATCAAAAGTTTATATTAGATCATGAATTTTTTTATTGGAAAAAATTCATTTTAACGAACAAAGGCAATTAAATGAAACAATAACTCAAATTAAACCAGTTAGATCTTAAGACAGAATGCAATTAATAAAAATTATTGAAACTTGTTGCGTGATGAACGCTAACATCAATGAAAGACAGACAAAGTAAAATATCATTTGATTATTAGTTGCTATTTCAAAATTTCAATCCATTCTTATTTATTCTTTGCTTTCATTTAGAAAGTTACTTTTAAATTCAATAGTTCAAAACTAAATAAGTTTGAATGGCTTCAGGCATTGAATCTTTTGTGTCAAAATCATTTCCATTTTCTCGGTTTTTAATAAAAAAACGCTTTTTCTGGTTAACGTATTTAAATTTACGCAGTCCATGGTACAATAGAGCGATAACAATCCTTCTGTGCTGCCTTTGTACAAGCTATTTGATTAGAGCACCAATTTACATATTTGCTCCAATCGAACCAATTCGCAAACTCTATTTGGGTGACTTTGCCTACAATTACGAGTCAATTCATGATGTTATTTGGGCAGTGCAAGCATTCTGGTTCCTATCTGCCATCTATGCCATTTACATAATCGATGAGACAAACAGATCGGTCAAAATGCAAATCTGGTTCGATGGTTTATCAATTTTGGAAGAAGGAAAAGACGAATTTTTTCGAAGACCAAATGGCAAAATTATTGTTGCTTCAAAGCTGTACTATTCCAATGTTGACTCGTCGGTTATTTTCGCCTTATTGTTTAACTATTCTTTTTTCCTGCCCAATATGATTCTGCATCATTCAGATACTCCACTCTTGATTTTGCTAAATATTCATTCACTAATCATATCAGGAGCAGCTACTGCAGCTACGAATTATGGCATCAACATATGCTTTCTGTTTTGTTTTAACGCTTTCCTTGTTGGTCAGAAGTTTATCAAGCTAAAAGAGAGATTTGATACCAAAATGGACAAAACGAAAAGATGGCATCGAAAAATTTCATCAAACTCGGCTCGATTCATTTCTCTGTTGAAACAAGTTTATTACGGCAACTTTTTTTGGTCCCAAATATGTTCGGCTGCTTTCAGCAGTACATTTATCGGTCAAATATTTCTCATGTATTTGCTCTTTTTTATTCCATTGAACAAGTTTCATTTCTTTTCGCTTCTTGGACTCGCCATAATCAACTTTGCATGCGGACAATCACTTATTTTTCTTAGTGGAGTCTATGCAAAGTCAAAGGTAAGGAGCACAAATCGATGTGTTTTAATGCATTATATCCAGATATCCTAAAATAGTCCTTCCAAGTATGTGTCCAAAACAATACTTTGAAGATATTGACACACAAGACACGAGGCTCCTTGGGGCCGAGATTCTTATTGATATACATGACAAAACACGAGTAAATAGCCATTAAACTCAAACGAATAAAATATTATGCAAAATTATTATATGCATTGATAAATCTAAAGAAGTAACGTTATTCGAGAAATAGTGTTCTAATGAAGTGCATGATTTTGGATGATAAACTTATGTGAACAGACTTTATTTCATGTATCTAAAATTTCGAATTCTTGACTCATTCACAATTTTCATTGTAAACTTTTTCACAAAATTATAGTTAAATGATTGCCATAAGCAATTGCGTCGAGTCATTTATTCAAAGGATATTAAGCTCAGAGTGGTGGATAAGATGAAGCTCACGATAATATCTGAATATGTATCGCATAGGAAACTGTTTGTAATCTTGGCATCTTTGGAAATGAATAGCTACAACTATTTGCTGGTAAGTCTACTTTGAAATCAATTTAAAAATGGTTATTTCATTGCTTTAAATTTGATCCTACCATTGGAAAACTTTGCCTATTTTAGTGATTTATTTCAGAATTTAAAAAGGCGATTAATAACAGAAAGGACACTGTACACACTTCAATTTCACTATGGAATCCAATGTAAACCTTACATGTGTTAATGTTGTTTAATAACTGCAAGGGTTTATGATTTTGCGATCCTTTACCCGAAGGCTGTGTGGGTGCAAACCAACAACGATTGAGTGATTCTGAGAATCGCGTTTTCTGTATAATGGCGTCAACTCTCAGCTGACCCAGATCATAATAAGTTTTATTCTGAATAACGTTGTCTTTCAGTCCAAATATATGAAATCACTAAAAAGTGTAAAAATATTCCGATTTACCGACTGCTAACATTATATTTGATATAAAATTATGTTCTTATTTTCATAGGTTTGCATCGAAATGATTTCCCATTTATTACTTGTTATTATCAATAAAAAATACAGGTCTTCGAGTCTGTATGAATCATGATTAAAAAAATAATTGTAATCGAGTTGCTGCATGAATGCATTAAAAATGATGAAATTGAAGCTCCTCAATAAGCCAATTTCAGGGTTTTGACACCAAATGGTAACTGAACTAAGCTTTTTCGGACCGGCCAGTTGTTTCCAAGAGAATAGCTCTGGTGACCAGTTACACTTTTCATCGAACTTGAATGTTTCTTCGGAAGTTCTTAAATCAAGTCTATTTTCGGATGTTGCTGGAGGAAGCAAAACATGAGCTGTTATTTCATATAAAATTGATCGTCAAGTTTGGTCTTGTTAGAATGCAGTTTAATATTAATTGTACATTAGTTTTTTGATATAATTTACTTCAAACAAATATAACTGAGGTCACTTAATAAAATATAAAATGTGTATCAAAAGTTAATAAATGATTACAATTTAATCTTAATCAAACTGAAGATTCAAATTTTGCACTTCCAGCTCCAATAATGTTGACTCGTGTTTTCACCAACTCGCCCTGTGCGTATTCAATTCCCTCCTTTTGATCTTCATATCTACTTGTTATATTGCTATTCATGTTATTTTTAACTGCAGCATTTAGATTTATACTATTCATGTCTGTTGGTGCAAATTGAACTCCAGTAAGTGTGTGCATCACTTGATGAGGTGAATGTTTACTGGTAATCAGTTCTTCGACTGGAAATGTGAGTCCGGCATAGTGGATGATACTGCTAGGTGTACAGTTTTCAGAACAATCTAAAGAGACAGAAAAAAAGAATAGTTTAAAACTCGAATGAACAAAATTTGCGCTTAAACAGGAATGAACAAGAATAGATCGACTATAGATTGAGATTCACTATTTGTAAAGAAATGATGAAAGTGCGTATTACTCGATCATCAACCAACTGACTTCGGTATCTCAACCCAACACTAATGTGCAGTTCTGTTTTGCTCACATCGAAGCTTATATCCCTTTGAAAAACCCTTAAAACTTCCTCGAAATTGGTTCATCTCATCACACATTCACAAAACCATTCACTATAAAAAGTAAACTCGAAACTATTGAGACAATTATTCGTCTATTCATGCTTATTTTATGTTACTGAAATCGTACCATGAGAAATGGAATGCTTATCCATATTAGCTCTTCTAAGATAATTGAATGATGGAATGATATCGGGCGGTCCTTCCTCTGCGTCAAAATCGACATTACAGTCTCTTGTATCTTCTGTGCTCTCCTGAGCATTATTGCCATTGAACAAGTGTATTTGAATATTTGGCTCTCGTTGGTGAGGCTGGGAATATTGAGGATGACCATCGTATGGTTGAGAACTCGTTACGCCCGAAATTCTGGCACAATTGGCAGTAGCACAGAAACTATTTTCATTGTCACCTTCATCAGTGCAGTTTTTTGTCTCCTCATTGACCAGGTTCTTTGCCTCCTTTGAACCATTTGTTCCATTATGGTTTAAAATGTTTCGACGCAATCGAAAGATTGCTGCGATTCCAAGGAAAACAGTACCACAAACAGTGGCAACACCACCAATGAGTATTATCAGAAGCAATGGGAATCCTCTTAAAAGGTCAACCTTGTCATCAAAAGACAAGTCGGCTGAGGTGGCTGATGAAGATGAACTTTTACTTCGTTCAGCAGGTCCATTTCGGTGAGAGATGGAGTTACCTCCATAGTCTGCCATCCCGTCTTCGGATCCCATGCTGCGATCGATAAGCTTCTCGGCTGACCTCAATGTTGAACCTTCTAAGGTAACACTTGGGCTGCGTCCAAACGAGTTGACTGCATAAATATTAATCTTGAAAACTGTTGAAGGTTCCAATGAAGTGATGAAAAACTCAATTGGACGTGAAAGTGAATCAATTATTTGAAATGGATCACCAGTTTCACCGAGTTCAGGTGAGCTTTGAGTTAAAAAATTAGTTGATGAACCATCCTTTGATCCATTTAATTCAACATTTTCATCATTTTTTTCTCCTTTTCCATCATCATTATCGCCATCTCCATCATTTTCATTCTTGTTATTTTTCCTTTTTCCATTAGAATTATCATGATAGTAATAAGGAGCATTAGTGCTTGTAACATTGATAACAAGATTCTGATCATTTTTGGTATAAACTTCAGCAAAGTAAATTGTCTTTGGATGAATTGTTATGCTGTTTGATTGTTGCGATGATATGTTTTTATCCATTAATGGTGAAGATGATGATGACAACACTGGGAATGTTGTTGTTGTTGGTGAAGGTGTGAGTGAAAGTGAAGATAAAGTTGATGATGAGAATGACAAATTAGACGGTTTTAAGGCATCATCGCTTCTAAGGCCATTTGAACCCATAAATTGAGCATTATTAGATAAATTGAGGTTACCAGTGTAGATACAGCTTATAAAAAGACTATCATCTGATTGATTAACTATTTTACAATTATAAGGAAATTCTGGTGGCACTGAAAAGAGAAAATGGACAAAAACAGAAAAAAAGAAGATTATTTCTTCTGAAATTTTCTAATCGATTTTTGAATAACTCACCTTGTGGTTTGATTAAAAATCTACATGAACTTCTTTGGAGGCCGACATCATTTTTCGCTGTACAATGAACTATTCCATAATCATCTGATGAGTTTACTGTATATATAAGGTCAGAACTGGATGGAAATACAAATGAATGGTTAGACAAAAAGGTAAGTAAACAATGTCATTGCATGGTGAGGAGCAAAGAACTTGATGATTGATACAACATTAGTAATGAAAGGGAAGAAAAAAGTCGAAAGTTGAAGGCTAAAAGTTCCTAGAATCAGATTACGAATTGCGCTGAATCATGTGAAATTTGATATAGATTTTTCTATTCCTTTTTCAAACTATTGCTTTGGTTTCGAGGCATCGTAAAAAAACGATCAAAATGTATTAAAGCGGTTAACATAATTCAAGGAAATGATACATGATGAAGAGCACAAAAAGCTACAAGCCTTCAAACAATTTGTTGCATAATTTTATTTCAAATGTTGATCAATTTTAATCGGCCTTTTCTCCGTTTTTGTCAATCATGTAATTGAAGGTGTCTGATGTGCAAATCGATTTCCAAAAATTGTAATATATTTTCAGATATAAAATTCAAAACTGATTCCCATGCTCGATCAAAATCAGTATCAATTTTGCCTCAACTAGCTAGACCTCAGTATTTGATCGCTGAGCAATTTTTCCAGAGGAAATTCCGCTACTCTGGGTCTTAATTGTTTCCTTTTGCTTTTATTTTGATTTCCTCTATCACTAAATTCATGCTGATATTCACCTTAAGTCGACCAGAAAACGCTTTTAAAAAAATTGAGTTAAAAATTCAGCGGGAAATTGAAAAATGCGCCAATTTAGAGAATATTCGAGTTTGGCGCCAAAAAATAAAGCATTTGGTTGTTAGCTTAGGTGAGTGTGCCATCTGGAGTCATTTAAAAATAACTAATCCAGAAAATGTCGAGTTCCTTAATAAGAGGCTAAGAAAGATGAAGATTGAATGCTTTCTAAAAGTTTCATCAACTGATGGTATGCAAAAGAGTCTAAAATATAATACATTGTAACGTTTACCATGACTGTCGATTATATATGACCTTTCTCTTGAAGAATCATAGAAGCCTTGAACAAGGAAATATCATGAGATCGCTAGAACTGATTTCGAACAAATGTCATTTGATAGAGCAGCTCAAATTATGGAAATCTATTAATCTAATATTTGCACCAAAAAATGGCACTCATCTCATTCAAATGGGCTCCTCATCGGACTAGTCTTTCAAACATTAACAGCTCCATGAAATAACAATACTAAACAATATCTGAATTACTGAAGACTGAAATTGTCTCTTTAAAATTATTTTTCTGAGTTTTTCCAAGTTCTATATTGTACGTCGAGAGTAGCACAGATATTGAGTGTTGAAACGATACTCTTGCCTAATTTTTTGTGCAACAAAAAACTATCATCACTAACTATCGCTCATCTTATTTGCTCATGAATTATAATCAACAAAAGTTATTACAATTTTCCTTTTGATTGTATCGAGTTACTGAGAAGATCAGGTTTATCTTGGAATCTCCATTGAAAAGACACTTTTTCCGGATTAGCTTCAACATAACATCTCAATACAGCCGACTCGTGTAAGGCAATTCCATATATTAATCTGTAGCGGGAGAAAAAAGCATTAGAACAAAAATATTAATAAAAAAAAGTTACATCTTTTAAAAGTCGACTTACATGAAACCGTAAAGGCAAACAGGAGCAAAACGTATTTCAAGTTTAATTTCATTTGAAGTTCCAACTCCTTGGGAATTGGTAACGATACACTGATAGAGGCCACTTTGGTGACGGGAAACTTTTTGCAAAACCAAACTTTGGTTGCTAACAATGATACCTGTGAAGAAAAGGAGAAAAGGAAAAATGAGAATCGATTCGAAGTGGAGCCAAATTTATCCTGCAAGTTATCCTCATCAAAGGTGACAATTGTCATTATCATGAAAACTATTCTTGCCTATCGTTAAAGATAGTCAACGTCAAACACAGAACTATGAAAAAAAGGAAGAAAAATAATGCTCCAAGGCTTCAAGAGTATAACAATCAATCAGGTTTAATGGTTCAATGAATTTTTTTTTGTTGCCTTTGGTTCGTATTTATATGTGCCCATTGACTTTGACTATAAAAATGGAATCCTGATGTTCATGATATGTACACATATGTGGATGCATCGAGATTATTCAGGCACAGAATGGAATTTTTCAATGATCTTATGACCATTGAACCAAAATTCTGATTCTTCTTTTTTTCACCATTCTTATGTTTCTCTTCATCCAAATAATTTTTGTTCACTTTTTTTTCTTGCCTTCTTTTTCATTTCTAATTTTCTCATTCAAATTCTTTCATGAGCAACTAGGAAAAAAATGAAGTTTAAGATCAACAGCTAAGGTAAGAAGCAGAGTACAATGAAAAGAGGTTTATGTGACCAAACATCATGACACTCATCATCATCATGAAAAGTAAATAAATTTTTTCTCCTTCTTCACCCAAAAATGACAAACACAAAAGTGTGAATCTTTTCAAGTAAAAAAAAGGAAGCAAAAAGAAAAAGAAAACTTCTTTTTTACTCTTATATCGAATTCTCATTTTGCTCAATTTTCACGGTGGCCAACACATTCTCATGGCTCAATGATGAACAAACTTATCGTTAATAACTGCAACAATGAAAAGTTAAAGAATATTTGGATTCTTTACTCATCTTTTCACCCAACTTTTCCTTTGCTCTTCACAATCATCATTGTTACCTCAGTAACTCTAGCACTCAGTATAATGTAAAATTTTCATGATTCTGTAGGTGTAAGATTATCAAAACTCAGGTAAATAAGAATTTTCATTTCATTTCAAAAGTACAAAGATTAGTCGAGAATATCAGTAAAAAGAAAAGTTAAGTGAAAAAGTTTTGCAACTGGAAATATCAAGGAATATCAAGAAATCGAAAATGAACATTTTGTTTTTACTTTTTGTGCAAACATCAAAGTCAACATTTTAATGAAAAATTTTGAATTCAAAGTAGTAAATAATAAAATTGAAAATGGTTAAAACTTGGTTGACATGGAAATGAAGAGGAAAGAAGAAAAAATGGAAAAATTTTGCAAATAAAATGAATGTTTAAAGTAAAATGATTTAAAGAGATATCATGAAATTTAGGAACAAAGTGTTTGGCTCATTTTTTTCTCTTCTCTCTTCTTTTCTTTACTCAACGTAACTTTTTAATCTTTTTGTTTTGTTTTTTCCACTGATTTTATTTTGTTTCACCTTTTTACTCAAACACTCAATTCAATTGTTACATTTTTGTCAATCAACATTCACAATTCTCATGTGATTCTAAATGCTGCAAGTTTAACCTCTATAAATTGAACAATCATTGAACAAATGTTGACTTTTGGTGTTTTGTTGCAATTGTTTTTTTATGGATGAAATAAATTGGTTTGGTAGTTCATTATGGAGAGTTTAAAATCTTTGGTTTATTTTTTGCGCAATTTAACTTCTTTTGTGAAGCGACTTTGCGAAAAATTCATCATTTAATAGCCAAAACTATTATAATATTTAGCATTATGCTAACGCTTGGAGATTATGATGAATTGGAATTTTCTATTTACAGAAAGATTAAACATTACTACTAACATGCCCTGCAATTACCTGTTGTCTTGATAATAATGTAAAACAATCCAACGAAAATATTCCAGTCTTCCAATTGACTTGAGTTGCAAGCAAAGAAAATACTAGGCAGTTCAAGCCCATTTGCTTCTCGTTCGGTTCAATATCTCACGAATCAAACATGCAAGATGTCTTGATACAGGATTTCAGCGATAATTACACAGACAATTTGATTTGTAAAACTTTAGCTCATGACTGAAAGTGTCACTTTAGTAGTCAGGGCTGAGTAAGAAAAACGGAGGCTTTGTTCATAGATGCCAGAAAGTGAAATGAAACAAGAAATGAATTATTATACCTCTACGACATAATTCAATTTTGTCCCGTTTTTTATTGTTTCTGAAAATCAGATATGAAAAAAATGCTGATTCGATAACACTATTCAGCTTAGCACAGGGTTTTCGTCAATTGTTTCTGGATGCTACATCTTGCTCAGCACAAGACAGTTTTACTTTTATTCACTTTACTGTAGATTCACTTTTGAGCAAACCTTTACAACCGTTAATGTAGTGATTCTTGTGTGAGAAAAGTTAGAGCTCTAGGAATGGAGCGCTAGCCTCTCATTTCATGCAAATGGCTTGAATTTAATCAAGAACTAAAACAATTACCCGAATTGGAATCTCACATTTCTTTTAATTCTTTCATTTCCATCAACAGATTGATCTAGTTGAATCTTGTGGTTTATAAATGAAATTGTCTGATTAATCAACAGATATCTCTCTATCTCTAGTTTACCTGATCAGAATTTGGAAACAATTTAGATTAATCAATCCTTTCAACTTTATCAGTTTCTTTACTCAACAATGAAACTGAAACTTACACAAACATTATTACAACTAAGGAAGAAGAGAAAAGATTCAATCTTATTACAGTTGAACGAGAAAATCGAGTTTCTCCAGTCAATTAATAAAAGCAACGAAAATGCACATTGAAGGCAGAAAAAATAACAAAGTTGAATTTCTTTCTATGATAACCAAATGAGTAGAAATTTCTGCTAAATTTGATCCAATGTTCAAATCAATCGAGTTCAATGAAATGTGAAAATTTCGTAGACAAAATAAAACAAACATAAAGACTTGAAATTTTCACTCCCAAGACGAACGATAAAATGAATGCAAAAAAATGTCATAAAAATTGAAAACAAAAGTTGAATTTCATTCGCATGATAATTAGTCGACAAAATTGGACCAAACGAGGTTCGTCAAATGATTATAACTACATTTGTTGGTTTTGATTGGAAAATTGTAAAATTCGATTCGTTGGATAATTGAAAGTGAAATGGTTGATCATGTTAAAGTTTGAATATTGAATCATTTCCTTTTCAATTTGATATTCACATTTTGCACTCTATCCTTTCCTATTGAATGTCAACTTGTTTTATTACAGAGTTAACCTGATATCAATCAATTTGATAGTTTCTCCTCTTCTGTTGTCATTCCACTTCTCATGTATTCAACTTGCAGTTCTCCACTTTCATGGTGTGTAATTAAATCACGTTGGGATAAAAGTAAAACTCGTTCAACCTGAAGTTGCTGGTAAAGTTACAGAGTTAATAAAGTTAGTCACAATTTTCATGGTGTTACCTCTGAATCAGGATGGAGGAAGAGAAAATAAAAGAATGCAAAACAAGTCCCAAAAAAGAGTAAAGTTGCAAACGAAATTCAAAGTAAAACCTTTTCCCTTTTCTGATTGGATTTTTTTTCGCTTTTTTTGTTTCTTCAGTTATTCAACTCTATCATTACTTTGAATGGGCAACTCTTTCATTTACAATCAAATCATATTGAAATTGAAAGTTAATTTTGCAAATTAAATTGATCAACTTTTTGTACATTCTTCAAGATTGTGAACGTGAAAACATCATGATAATGAAATTGTTGGGTGAAAGGCAAAGGTGTGTGAAAGAAGAGAAAGAAAAGGTAGAAATTCAACAGTTTCACTCACCTTGCTTGGGTGACAATTGATTACCATTGAATCTCCATTGAACAGATTTTATTGGCTTTGGATTGGAATCTATTTTACAATCAAAGTAAACATCATTTCCTTCCTGAATCGTTGTTGATGATGATGTTGGTGAACCAAATTCAAGTTTAACTTCAGGTTTATCTGTTTATCAAGGTGGCAAATGATCAGAGAAAAGATTGAAAAATGTTGCCAAAAAAGGAATCGAAATTAATAGAAAAAAGTTTAATTGTAAAATGATTAGTTTACACAAAAAAGTCAAAATAAATGTTCATTAATAGAAAAAAATTTCAAAAAAAACAAAAAAATTCGATTTCAAAGTTTTTAGCATTTTGTAAACTCACATTGAACATCTAATTGAAGTTGATCCGATATCTGTGAGTTTAGTATTTTTGGATTCTCAGCAATACAGGATAACATGGCACCGTTATGAGACTTGTTTACTTGAATAGTTATTCGACTGGTTACTACTTGGTCACCTGATGAATGGTCAATCAAATGGAAATGAAGGGAAATGTGTGTTGATATGAATGAGATAAAGACATGTTGAGGTGTAAATAGTGATAATTGAATTTTACCTGATATTCCAGTTGAATGTGTCTTACCATCAAAAAGCCAATAGACGTTGGGCTTTGGTCTTGAACCAATAGTTTTACATTCAAATGTAACTTGTTTGGAGGCAACCAAAATTGGTGATAATTGAGTAATATGCACTTCGGTAGGTTTTACTGTGAACCAAGGAAAACATGAAACATTGTAATATTAATGAAATTGAAACAAATAATAGATGCTAATAGATGATAATAATAATAGTTTGCATGATGATGGCAGGAGTAATAGATATGGATAAATAATCTGGTAAATACAAGTATACTTATAATAGAATAAATAAAGACAAAAGATTATTATTAAATAAATATTAGTATAAACAGTTTTTACGACGAACAGGGAAGCTAAAAAGTTGTGCTAAAAAAGTGCTTAGCAAATGACTGGTTATCATGTAATCAAGTTTGAGTAACAATAGTTGAGTAATAACATGAAGAGGAGGGAAAGCTTACAAAGTGTTGCAGCCAAGCATAGAGATATTACAAGATGATGAACCTATGAGCCAAGATCAACAATGATGCATAATGATAAAGACTTTTAACAATGAATAAAGAAGAAAAAATCTAAAATCGACTTCTCTCTTGTTGTTGTTGTTGTTGTCGCCTCAAGTTGTCTCAAGTCGTCAAAGAAGTTGTCTCAACTTGATTCATTAGCAACTTTTACAAATATGAAAATATTGTAATTCGCTATCACGACTATTGGCTGTTGCACTGTCAAAGATCGTCTTTAAATCACTGTTTTCCGAGTTTAAAGACATTGGCTTTGGCTTGAATGACATAGGCGACTAAGCCACAGCAATCACTCTGACAACTAGCTTTACTGTCTGTTGATCTTAGCTCGGTCTGATTTCAATGGTTGGTTAATTTTTAGAAGGGAAAAATTATGCAAATAGTGTTCGATAATATTAATCGACAATCATCGATGGTTTTGTATCAATTGTTCATATGATTTCGATTAAATCGTTTCTCATTTTGTGCCGATTTATCGTGGCTATTATGACCTGAAATCTTTTCTTTGTCCAATTTAATCTATTCAATGATATTTGAGTTCAACAACTGAAACATTTTCAGGAATGATCAGCGGAAAGTTTTGATTGAAATGAATATCATGAGACTTTGCTGGAATACTTACAGTTGAGCTCTAAGGTGATTGAAGTAGCCAATGGAACGGTCATATTGTTATTGACAGCTTGGCAGGTTAATTTTGATAAAAGATGATGTCGAGCTAAGGATAGTATCGTCAGCTGATTTGTGGTCACTAATGATGGTTATTGATGGCAAGAGTTTCAACCATTTGACCAGTCGAAGAGAAAGCAAAAAGAAAGTGAAAATGAAGAGAAAAAAAAGTGATGATGAGATGAAAATAGTAAAAGTTTCGCTTCTTGTAAAGCTTCAGCTAACGTTGGAATTGAAATAATTTTTCAAATTCTTGATAACTTTAGAACCATTTTGGTTCAACTTTCTTTATTTCCCAACTTTGTACAATTTTTTCCTCTCAACTCTAAATTCTTATGGGTATTGATATGAAGAGAAACGAGAAAATGACGAAAAGAGATGAATGAAGAATGAAATGCGAAAAGTTTACCCAAAAAAAGAGGTTCCTACGAACACAAAAAAATCCAACGAAAGTAAAGAACGAAAAATTTTGAACGAAAAAAGTAGTAAAAAATAAGAGTCGAGATTAAGGGAAATAAAATCTATGACCAGAAAAGGAGAAAAAAAGTCCCATGGTAATGATGAGGAACATTTTTCTTTCTCATCTTCATCCATCTTGTGCGAGAAAAAGGAAGAAGATGATGATGGAAAAGATCAAAAGGAAGAAAAGGTGAAATAAAGATTATGTTGGTATTTGTCAATATCATTTATAATAAATAGACAAATAGTCTGATGAATCTATCCATCATTTGTTATTGAGATATTTTTTTCTTCCTTTCAACTTTTCATTTTTTTATCAAATTTCTGATTCTCATTTTTTGTTGAAAACCTTTTTTGTCAATCTATTACACAAGTTTGAGAAACTTACCTTCTTTATCAATGTATTCAAAGGTATCATCTAACAGTGAATTATCACGCCACCAAGTTAACGATGGACGAGGTTTACCTGAGGTTGAGAGAGAAGAGAGTGAAAAGTTTCCAATTTAGACAATTCAACATGATTGAGATTAATTTTTTTGCATGCCTTTTCCTTTCTCGACAAAAGAGAAATCATTATTTTCAAAAGTTTACTTCTTTTTTTTCATGGCAACATTTTTTACTCGCAATAACTTTTTTGTTCAACAATAATAATACAATAATGTATCATTAAGATGGTTTTGAGAGATGGATTTTCATCATTTCATCGATGATGTTGACGATGATGATTCTATTTGCTCTGAAAAATGGTTTTACCTTTTGATTCAGATTTGTGTCGGATAAAGTATCAATTTGAATTCTGCATCAATATTTGGATCAAATGTTAAGTAAAGGTAAAAGGATATTTCATGATATTTTAAAGCCATAAGAAAATGTTAACTAATGGTGAATTCTGGTTCATCCATGGAAAGTAGGGATTGAACAGAAAATTTGACAAAAGTGTTCATCTGTCTTTTTGAGGTCATGATTTAGGAAATTGATAATACAAGCAGGGATTCCATTTAGTTGAAAATCTCAAGCTCGAGTTTTCAAGGTAATCCAAAGTCAGACGTTTATCTGAGATTCAATCGTTTGAAGATATTTAAAGATTATTTTCAGACTCATGTTGCGCTTCGAATTTACCCTCACTTACCAGAAACTGCACATAATTTTTTCAATGGACCCGATTAAGGAGGAGTTTTATCTACTTTTAAACTTCGTCGAATTTTGATTCGATTTCTTTAATTACCAAAGACTTAATTAAATTTTCTTTCGTAAAATATCAATCCAAAAACTCTCAAAATCAGTTTAAAGCAACACTTTTGCTATTAAGGAAGATTGAAAATTATGAATTATGCTGCTCGACGAATAGTGTAAATAAGCTATTTCCAGCTTGGTGCAGTTTCTGTTAGGTGAGTGTATCTAATATATTAATACCGTTTTGGTATTTTTCGGTCAAAATTTATCCACACTCAAACGGTCTATAAATTTTCTGTTAATCGCAAATGAAAGGTTTTGGCCTGAAATGTATAATGTAATGTTAATAATAATGTAATACAGTTGATTGCATTGAGTTTGACGGTACTTTTAATTTTCTTTGCGCATCCAATTCCCATCGATGTGAAGGATCACATGATGACATCGTGACGTCGAAAGTTCTCTTTACATACCTCCAAGAACGGAGAAACAGTGACAATCATTGTGAATTCTTCAAAATCAAATAACAGAATTCGCAACAAAAAATGATAAAATGAGAGCGATTGACTGTCAAGTGATCCTTCCTGATTGATTTAGCATATTTATTTTGTCATTTGGCTCATTTGAGTGTTTTCGTTCTGAGTCCCATTGTTTCCTATGGAAGAATTCCCTTACTTTGAACGCTGATATCTCAAGAACCATTCATCGTAGCATTTTCAGCATAAGACCATCGGAAATAAGATTTTTGGAACTTCAATATGGCCTGATAAAAAATTAGAAAAAATCACGCACAGCAAAATGTGACACTTTTACAACTTTGATGATTTACCGAAAAACACCCTGTATTCGAAAAATTTCCAAAGTAGCGCCATACAAAACTTTCACATTTTTTCTATCGAATGGCTTATATCATATCTCTCTAGTATTCATAGTTGCGGAGTTATAAACGCGCCAATGTAGGGATAGTTCATCCGAACACCTAGTATAATGCAGTAATGTATCCATTCAATTTGGATTTCGGTATTTTGATACTAAAATAAATAAAAAAGTCTACAACACCGGGGGTTCCCAAGTGGTCTCCCTCCCAAGTACTAACCCGGCCCGAAACTGCTTAACTTCGGAGATCGGACGGGATCCGGTGTTTTCAGTCTGGTATGGTCGTAGACAATGAATATAGCTCATTACTGCTATATAAACAAAGACTTATTTCAATAGCCCATATCAATATTTTTTTCTTTATTTTATTTTCTTTATTTCTTCTTTCTTTTCTCAAATTCTAAATTCTAATGAGAAAAAGGGACACAGAAAACTTTTCAATCAAATGCCTCGAATAAACGAATTTCTAGGTTGACTTTGTAGGTTTGTAGGGGCATAAAAATTAAGTCCATTAAAAAGTGTTATTCTAGTTATCTTTATTGCAAGCCAATAAATTGTACTGCTACAGTCCATGTGCATACAAACATCTATCAATTAGACGGATATGATTTCAAATTCGTATTTTCAAACACATGTTGGTAAAGTAACAAAGCAACAAAAACACAATTCCTTATTTCGGCCAAAAACCGCCAAAAGTAAATCCATTAAAATTGCAAATAAGCTGGGTAAACATAAATTGCGAGCCATATTCACCTGAGATCAAAACTAGAATCAAAATAGTGTTGAATCGGCTGAATATTTAATCAAATAAATTTTTGATGCACAAAAATTGTTTAACAGACCAAAGATAAAAAATCAGAAATCAAAGACAGAAAATTACTGATCTTAATTTATCTTAATTTACTGACGCATAATTGATTGATTGTTTTTCATAAATTAAATTAAGAAATTTTCCCCGAATATTTTTGTTTACATTTTTCAAATCATTTTTCTTGTTTTTCATTTGTGAAATTTTCTGATTTGTTTTTTTTGTGTTTTATTGAATTTCTCACCTCAATATACTTTAAATTCAATCAACTATAATGTCAAACGTTCAAGCTATCGATGGGTAAGTTATCATCAATTCTTGTTAAATTTCTCAAATACATCAACCGTCTTTTATTTTTTTGTTAGCGTTGTTTTTTGTAGGAATTTCGTCAATAAAGGTTACTGTTATGGACTTGGCTGTAAATTTCTACACGAAAATAGAGATGTCGAGAGACAATACAAAAGGACTGGTAAATTACCGATTGATCTGGCTCGGGAATGGATGAGGTAAGTTCATTTCGCTAGCGTGAATTTTTTCATTTTGATTATTTTTCTTTACAGTACGCAAGAAAAATTAGCTGAACGGAATTCCAATATTTGCCAAGATCAGCTGCAATCCAAATGTTTCCGACAAAATTGCAAGTTTGGCATCCATCATGTCTTTAGGACTGACATGGACGCTGGAAACATTGTCGAGTTTTCATTCAGGCCCGGCCCTAACATGGTTGTAAGTGATTCGTTTGACTTATGATAATCATTCCATTAAATTCTCAACATTTTTATTATTCTCTTTCAAGGACTACATCCAAAATATTTATGGGGATACAAAACCTTGGTCTTCGGATGTTTTATGTCACATCCGAACACCTTTTCCATTGCTTGCTGAGCACATCATAAATGTTCTGGTAAAATATTTCCGCTAGCGGTCATAAAACTTTTTCTAATTTTACTTTTCTTTTCTTTCAGAGACCATTCAGGATTACTGGAAACCAGGTCTCATTTATGTACAATGGACAGAAAATATTACACACAGATACCAATATCACACCTCTATCATTAGATATTGGTAATGGTGTTGATGTTTTCGTTGATATTGTTTTCGCAAAAAATTCACTAGTTTAAATTGAAGGTGTTATTTCTTTTCTCGATTGTTCTTGATTCGTGATCAAGTTTGGATTTTTATTTTCGAAATAAAAATAAACTTCAATCAGTTAATCTGGTCCAAGATTAAAGCTCAATTGGTGAATTCTGTTCTTAATAATTATCTATTAATTAATTTATCGATTGCATAATTTTCGATGAAAACGAGAAAATTTTTGCCTGGTTGTACTTAATCTTTTTGCAGTTTTTCATCCCTGCAAATTAACAGATGATTGTGCCGTCTATGTTGGATATCGAAGGCATCGTAGACGAACTTTTCTTTAACTTCATAGTTTTATCACACTCAATGCTTAGGTAATTCAGAATAGTAATTTTGATAACATGAAGTGCTTTATGTTTTTGTTGAGTTCCCCAGTTTTCATATGTATTTGCTATTCTTTCCAATGTTACTGATATTCACTGATAAGGGTAAGCCTCAACTCGGGTAAGCCATGAATATCTCCAAATTTGTGACCTAACATATTGATTATTTTGTGAAAACAAGATAATCATAGCATTGAAAATTAAGTTACTCCATTAAATATAACGAACTCAGGCGTGGAAGATATTGGCTGATGTCTTAATCCATCATTCATTGTTGAACTCTAAACTTTCATCGAATCGTTGAAATGTTGAAATTATTAAATTCCCTTGTTCAGTTATCAAGTTTATCAGCTATTATCAGTTAAGTTCTGAAGTAACGAGTTTTTTACACAATGGTAAACCATCTTTTTACAATCAACTTTTTGCTAATTCCAGAAGACTGGACAGTCTGATTGAAACTATTAAAGTTTTTCTTCACTTGAGTTTCAGATTCTTGCCTTTTGTGTTCTATTAATATAATATTATTGGGCAACAATCTCACTATTGTAGACTCATTGATCGAATTGCAAGTCGCCTTCTTGTCGAGTCTCTACATAATCTTCATCATTACTCTTATTAGAAAGATGATATTGTTCCTCATTTAACTCATCAAGTCTCATTTCTTGACCAACTTCTCCACCCAATTCATCTTATACTCAGTCCTAATCTTTCCATCTAATTTATATTCTCTTCTTGACCAACGATTGTTTTTGTCCATTGCTTCATCATTTTTCCCTCTCCTTCAGTCTACACACATTTCTGGTTAAATGTCAGCTTGCATAAAATAATAAGGAATCACTGGGAATGATTAAATGATATGAGAGATGAACGTTTCCCTTTCACCCAACCTACATCTTGCACCAGCATTAATCCTCTCTTTTTACAGTCTTCTTTCTCATCTGCCTGTCTCTTGAGGCCATTCAGATATTATCAACATCATCAGATGCACCATGTCATTAGTAATCATTACATGATCTGGTTCAATGTGTGAACAAAAACAGAAGCTTCCCTTTCCAGATAAGTTCAAGTGTAAATGTCAATTTAATGTGTTAAAAAACTTAATGCACCGAGCACAATGGAGACTGTGATCAAGTTACAGTGGGAAGCAAAAGGCTAAATCACAGATTCTTGTGAAACAGTTAATTATTCAAAGTAAACTCTAACCGAGTCAATTGATTATCTTGTTTATCAATAGAGTCTGATGAAATCGCTCAATCAATCAATTACAGGGTTTCCGAGTCAATCATGTTGTACATTTTTATCATCGACAAACTTGATATTCAACATTATTATTGAACAAACAGTTGCAGAAAGATAAATATCATGATACTCATAAATATCATCAGTCTATTTATTAGCTCAACTCATTTCTTTATCAAGATTTTCTCTTCCTTTCATTTTCTTCTACTTCTATCATTGTTATCATATAAATATATTGATATAGCAATACTTATATTTTTCTCTTTCTCTTATCTTTTCTAAAAATGCCCGAAACATAAACTGGCAAGTGAGTTCGCTTCTTAAAACTAATTGAACTATTGAAAATTCGTGAAATACTGCTCTAACCTTAAGTTCGTAACAAATTCAGCTTTTTAGTGAAGGGAAGATTCAGTCATCAGTCATTCGCAAAATTTTTTTCAGTTGATTGTCGAGGTTAATTCCAGGTCTTCCTCTGTTTTTTTGACCAGATTTTTCTCATGATGTACAAAATCATGATAATACCTATAGGCAGTCCTTCTAGGTACACCAATCTCCACGCATTTTTTAATTAGATCACTTTTTCGAACTTTGTTTAGATTGTTGAAAAGATTTTCACACGCAATTAAGAGACATTTTTGAAAACACCAAAATTCCGACTTTTATAAATGACTTATGCCTTTTTCCTGCGATATTCTGAATCTAAATGTTTGTATCTGTTTAATAAAAATCTCTTTAAATTCCTAGCCACAAAAGTAGTTGATAATTAAAGAGTTTAAATTTGTTGCCAAATTTCCCGTGCATAGGTTAGAATAAAACACTTAAGAGGACGGCAATCACTGAAAGAAGTTGAAATGGTACCTCATTGAAGTACTGAAGGCTACTTCAGTCAAGCTATTCCAAGCTTCTTTTCATTGTGAGAAGCTGACCTTAATCAACCTAGATTGAAGAAAGTTGATTACTTGCATTATTTCCTGTTTTCTTATGCGACATAACTCGCAAAGTTTTGCAAGACATCCTCGATTTAGATCCGTTGCCTTTGCTTCTATCATGAAGTGCCAAGAACTGTTTTTGTAAATGGAAATTCATTTAGAAATGTAAATACTGAGCAATTATCGAATCAGATTGCAAAAAATCCGAATCTACTCAGCGAAGCAATGTATAGTGTTGGTAGACTCAGACAAACGCAAACTTTCAGAACACCTCGAAGTTTTTGGAGTGCAAGATGTGGGGTGCTACTTGACATGGTACAGCATTTAGGCACTCCTTATATATTCTTCACTTTTTCCTTTGCTGATTATCATTGGCCAGATCTGTTCAGATTGCTTTGCAAAGACAGAGATATAGCTACGATAACAGAGAAAGAAAGGGCAAAACTCATTATTACTTGCAGGTTCTACACATCCGTCCCGATACACATTTTTTGCAAGATGTCAAGATCCATCAGACTTAGCTGACCTTCTGAATTGTCTAGAAAGGCACACTAGATGTGGTAATCCCCAGAAGGATTCAACGCATTTCGGTTCGATTTTGGTTTCGAAAGTGGATTTTGTCGAATGAACTCTTTTTATGGCAAAAACAAAAGCTCAGCAACTATTGTATATCCATATCGATGCAAGATTCAGTTTTTGCGTATAGCTACAATAAATTGCGTAAAAATTTTAGATACGAGCAATATATGGTCTTAGATGAAAAATTTTTTACATTAAAGGGTGAAATAAATCTTCACAACAGGATTTGGTTACATTGAGCTCATATGGTCTCATAGGTTCCTATCTTTTCTCCAGTCATGTTAATCAGGTAACTTATCGAGAATTTACTCAGTCGTTTTTCATTCCTGGGTTCCAAATCAATTGGAATCAGCTTGGTTTCAACAAGACGGACTGACTCATCACTGCATTAATGAAACACGAGCCTTTTTGACTCAACACGATGGAACTAGACTTATTAGCCGTCGTAGTGAGTGATGGTCTCCAAGTTCGTGCGATCTTAATCCGTTAGATTATCTTTGGGGTTTTATCGACAGTCGAGTACGGCACACACAGCCAAAAGCGTCAAGTCAATTTAGAAATTCAATTGATAAATTCAAAACTACTCTCAAATGTTACTAAATACCATTGAAAATTTCACTAAACGAACCAATAAATGCCTAGAAATTAAAACTGTCACTTTTTTCACCCTTATTAAATTCATGATCGATTCATAAATGAAACTTTTGTTTGTAAAGGGTGTTAAGGTTTATCTCTATCAAAATAAGGGGGAAGAGATATAAGATTACCGAAAGATTAAGCTGAAAATGATAACTGTTTCCCCTATTTTGGTAGAAATAAACCTTAACAGTCATTATTTCGTTTACATTTTTGTTAACATCATTCTATCAAATTAAGATAATTTTAACACACTTTATCTACCTTGATTTTCAATAAATCCAATTGACAATATCTCTTTAAGCTTAGCTACCAAGCCGATAGCAAAAAGAGCTGGAAGAGCAAAGAGTGAGCTGACGAGTTCTATTTTACACTTACCGAGTTGAGTATCTAATAAACCTGATAAGATCTCTTTTTCAAGTCAAAACTTGGATTCTGGATTGAAGTTTATGAATCGTAAACGATCACTTAATAGTCCTAATAACCCTGATTTCTTCTAAGCAAAATTCTTAGATATTTGTTGAGTTATAAGGTTAAGGTCACAAGAGATGACTGGGCATTGGTTTTGACATTTGATTAACCCAATAAAATTGCCAGAATACGACTAATCAAGTTATTATATAATATTTTTCATTAGCAAAACTCGAAATATTAATGATTCTTTTGCTGAATAAAGATGACTTTAGACTAACAAACATTTCTCATCAGTCAAAAAAACTTTGCTCTTTCATCATCTCGAGCTATCAGATTTAATTTAATTTATCACTTATAACACAAAGGTTACATCTCGCAGTGGACAAAGATCAAAACTGTGTCATCCAGAGAAAATCAAGTTAATCAGATTTTAAATGGTTGAATTGAAGATAAATGAAATGAAATGGATAAAAGCGAAACAATCAAAGTAAAAAAGCAATAAAAAAAGTAACAATGTCATAATGAATAAAGGTCAATTAAATTGAAAGATTCGTTATTTCATAGCAACATTGCCAATTGAAAGATTACAAGCGATAAACTGGAAATAAAAAATTGATGAAACAAGTGAACAATCACATGAAATTGGAATCAAATAATTGATTGTCACCAAGGCAAACCCATGAAACTGCAAGATGATTAAAAATAGGCTCACAATTCCTACTTTTGACTAAAACTTGAAACTAGTCAACACCAAAAATGTTTAATTGCAATTATCAAATTAACTTTTCCTTCCCTTTTCAACCAAAAGTTGATTACCAGAGAAACTCAAACTTACAAAATATTGCAATAAATTATCACAATTATCTGAAAATGACTTGGAAAGCGACAAGTAAAAGACGATAAAAAGGAAAACAAAAAGTCTTGAAACCTAATTGTATTCCAATGCAATCAACAATTCATGCTATAATTCATGCAAAATTCATTGTTTGCTAATCCAATTAAAAGTAAACTAATTTTCAATCTTGCTGTTAAATATTACAGAGCATTCATCAAACAATGTTTCCAGAGTTTTCATCATTAACTTCTCTTTTTCCCTGTGAAACAATTAAAACTAATCCACCTCAAGAATAGTAGATTCAAACAATGGCTCCCAGTATTTACCGTCTCACACAATCAATACTTGTTTACCATTTTCACTGTTGTTTCATTCACAATTAATTTCATCATCTTACAATTCATCAATCTTGAAACAAGGCAAAAAGACGTAAAATCAGAAGCAAGTTAAAGATGAGACGAAATAGTTTATCTTGTTAGCTTTTTGTTGTTTTGCCATCTTCTCGTTGTTGTGATACTCTTTTGTTAACATTCAATTCCTGGGTTCAACAAATTTTCTTCCCATTTAATTCAATTAATGCTTCTTCTCTATCATTTCCCTTCATCATTCCAATGATCTTACTAACGATCATGATGACACTCGAACCAGTTAAATTGTTTCTTTGTTTTTCTCTCTCTCTCTCTCTCTTTTCCATTCTCTTTAAATCAAAATCAATTTGAAATACTCTTGTAAACATTACATTAAACAAATCAAATAGTCAAACGTTGTACTTGAAATGTAAAGAGGATTTGTTGAATCGTTAGTTTACTCGATACCAACGTTGACGAAGAAAATGTTTTGAAAACAATATTTTCTCGTTAAAGGTTGATCAAGGAAAATGCATGTTGACATAACGAGGCTAACCTTGTTCATTATTAAGGTTAACGATAATGTTGATATACATAATTTGGGATAAAATAATCTTACCTCCATTTGTTGTGCAAATAATTTTAAGAGTATCACCTTCATTGTACGGTCCAATAAGACCTTTAAGATTAACTTCATCTGGATTTGTTATAATAGGCTCTTCTGGTGGAACTGTTGGGAATACAAAAGAAGAGTTTCAATTAGAGTTTGATGGAAAAATTTAAATTTAAAATTATGAAAAGAACGAAAACAAAGAAAAGAAAGAAAAAGGCATTTTTTTCGTTGCTGCATTGATCAATGTTGAAGGGTTAAATGAAGATCTTAGTCGAGGTTGAAAATGAATAAATGTAAATATTGATAATATTGATAAAGAAGGATTTTTCCGTCTAAAAAAGAGATTTACAAACTGAATTATCTGGATTTTCAAGAATCTTTTTTTCTCTTCTTCTTCTTCTTGCAGACTTTGCGCTTCATTTTCATTTCTTTATTCACTCATTCATTCATTTTTTGCTCTTGTTACTCTTTCGTACTTTACTTAGCACTTTTGTTTATCTTTCCTTGCTTCATGGAGAAGGGATGAAAATTTCAATTCTCTAGAGGAATTAGCATCATTGATAGTTTGAAAGGATTAAATAATGATTTTTGTTCTTGTTTTTGTTTAATTTTCCCTGTTTAACCAACACTGATTCACTTTGCTTCTTTGCTTTAGTCTACTGTTGATTGAAAAATCTTTACTTCAATGTTACCTCCTCAAGCTTATTTACATTCTGTTGAATCTTTTCATGTATTTAATGCGTTCTTACGATTTGTGCATCAAAACTCTTTCAGATTTACTCTTGTTTAAACAACCGACTTCAAGACTTTCATTCTCACAAAACTAAACAATTTTTTTCAAGTCAAAAGGGAAAACCTTTTTCGACGGGGAAAAAATTAACCAAGTCAACTGACCAAAACATTTTCTGATTAAATTATGCAAACTGAAACTCAATTTTACAGTATAAACATCAAGTCTCTCATGGCAATAATATGTGTGTAAGCAATGTTTAAAAAAAATTGGAATTATTCATTCTTTTCAAGGTCAAGTTTCTAGGTATTGAATATGGAAAAAGGAAAATCTCCTGATTTTGAAAGAAGTAGAAAGGTGATAAAGTAACAAGTTGACGAGTTGCGCTTCGCTTTGAACGAAAGAGTGGAATGAGTTCAAACTTGGTATAGAAGTTTGCAGGGAAAAAGCTTGGAAGCATCGAATTTTCAAGGTCATTTTTCATGAATTCGCCCATTCACGTGTTGAAGTTTGTTTGTATTTTTTCAATGTCTTGTTGTCACTCTTGAACAGATTCATCATTATATCACTGATATCTGTCGAAACACGACAATTATAAAAACTCATGAAAATATCGTTTAAAATAAATGGACTAACGCTTCAAGCTCCTTTGGCGAGCGATTGTCTGAACTTGTATCAAATCAAATTGGTTGAATAAACTCCGGTCAATTCAAAAGCTGAAAGGGTCGAGAAAATTCAACTGACAAAATGACTTGATAATCTTAGAAAAGGTAACATGAAGTTTTCCTGCAATTATCATTGAAGAGTACTTAAAGTATTACTTGACTGCAAACAGGTAAACTATAACACAATTGTATAAAAAAGATTGTAAATTTTGGACAATTCCACTTTTCATGCTATTCCATTGAACGAGAAGATGAAAAATGAAAACAATAAACAGTGAAAAACAGGTTAACTTTGATTGTCCATTTTATCTCATTCCATCATCATTTCCGTTTCCGGGTAAACAATTGAGTAGTTAACAGGAAAGGGGGAAAACGAAAGGGAAAAGTCTTTATCAACAGTAGAAAAATCTGTTCTCTTGATGTTCCAATGAAAAAAAATGTACTCTTTCAACGCAACATAATTGGTTGTTGACAATAAAAGGAACCAAAATTGTTTCAAAAGACAAAAGAAGAGTGAAAAAAAAGTTGAACAAAACTGTGATAAACAAGAATCAATCGAGATTATTAAAAGTCAATTTAAAATGTCAAAATAAAGCAAAGGAAAGAAAAAAGAAGAAAGAAAAATGACAAAATTGAATAAACTTTAGGCTTACCAATTACTTTTAAACTGATAACAGTGTTTATTGTTCGAGCTTTCTTAAAGTCAACTCGACATCGATATTCACCAGAATCGGATAAACGAACTGGATCAATTTTTAAAAAAGCTGGTCTATTATGGAGATTGAAGAATGCTCGACCTTGTTTGTCATCAAACACAAAAAAACAGGGAAAACATGATCCATGGACAAGGGTTAAAGACCAAGAAAGCATGTTGATTCATTTTTACATATCATTGACATTTTATCCATCATGACAGGTCATTTATCCATTTTGTACAAGGTTCAATAACAGGGAAAAGCAGAAAGTAGGCAAGAAAAAGGTAAAGAAGAAAAGTAAGCAAAAATGATGATTATAAAGAGCTTTTTCTTCTTCTCACTTTATCCTCATCTTTTCTCTTCTCTCAACCTTTCCTTCATTTCTAGGTTAAGGTGCAAGAGGTAAAGAAGAGCATCATGATGAGAAGGTGGAAAAAGTTGAGACCAAATGAGAGTGAATGAGCATTAATAATGTAATAGATGAAGAAGATGGAAAAGTGCAAGATTGACAAGAATTGATGTTAAAAGTAGAAAAGGTTTTCTACAGAAGAAGATGATAATGTTGATCCCCTGGACACGAGTTTGCTGTATACTGATCATTTTGATGCGTAATGAAAGGTGTAAATGGGTTGTACAAGCAAACAATAATAATCTTTTGGTAAGAAAATTTTTCCTCCAAAACTTGCGATACTTTGATGGGAAAAGGTAGTTCAGTGTCACTCTTGTCTTTACCTTCCGAGACATTTAAAGAAACTCATTTTTCTCAATTAATAGACTCGATTAGAGTGAAAATTTGAACCCTCAAATGATTCCATTTTGCTCTTCATTTACTTTTCCCATTTTTTCCTCCCTTTTGGTATAATCTTCTGCTCTCCTCCCAGTCTATCCACCTTTTGTCTACCTTGGTGCTTACCTTGAAGAACAGTTGCAATCAGTGTTCGTGCTTGATCCAATGTTCCTAAATGGCGAGATTTTTGGAAAAGAAAAAAGTTTATTATTTATTCATTGAATGTAAAGAGTAAAATATAATGGCGAACCATTTTGTCGCTTGTAAATGAATTGACTTTTCAAATGTTTTCACGGAAAGACTCATCATCATGATTATCTTGGGTAAAAGACAACAGTTTAACAGTTGAAAAGGCTTTCAACTCGGGATTAACCTTCACATGGGAGAAACTAATTCAAGTACAATAATAGTGTTTAGACCATTAAGAATACAGAATAAAGAATCTTAACCTTGATCTTGACTTATTTTCTTTTGAAATTTGTTTCGTGATAAACATTGATTTAAAGCAGACTCGACTGGTACAACAAACTCGATGAATTTCAAGTTTACTTTTTGATTGCCTTTTCCAATTTGTTTATTCATTGTCGATCAAATCGTTTCTTTTTCATTTTATAATCATACCAATTGAAATTTTGACAAAATGGTGATAAAAAAGAAAATAAATTATTCCAAATTGATAGTGATTTTATTTACTCGACAATTCCCTGAGTTATTACCGCTGAAATTGAATCAGTTTTACATGAATCACAAGATTAAAATGCTTCCATTGACATTTCAAGTTTTAATAGAGAAATAGTTTCAACTGAATCAAATCAGATCGACGACGAAAAACCGAATGAGCGAAAATCAAAAAGGTGAAAAAATTCATTTTTCCGTTGAAAGAACAGAATGATAGAGAATCGTTCTTGGAATGATCGAAATGAAGTTTTGAAATTTTTCTTATAAAAAATGTTCCAAATGGAATTCTCATTCAGAAAATATATTCCTTTTGATAAATACTTGGTAAAGTAACTCTACTTTGGTTGCAAGGGAAAGGCTTTGATATCAAATGTCCATTTTTACTGTTGTTCAACTGATTCTTTGGGCGAAGAAAAACTTTTGTCATTTCCTTTTTTTTCATCTTTCATTGCCTTTTCGTCTTATCCTTTATATTGTATATTTATATACATTTTATCCATTTCTTAGTGTCAGTTACATGCAACTCTAGTTTACAATATTCATTGAAACAAAAAGTGATATTCCATGTTTTTCCGTTCAGAATGCGATACTTGAGAATGTTAAAGATGAATAAAGGGAGCAGAAAAAAGGTAAAAGAAAAAGAATGATGTTTGCAAGATTCTTGACAAGAGAAGTAAAAGGCAATTTAATGATGGTTTCAATGGCGAAGAGGCACAAAAAGGTTAGAAGATTCTTTTTCATCTTCATCATCATGATCTTGTTGGCATAAAAAAGAGTAAAACTTGTTTTTTCTTCTCTCTCTCTTCTTTCTTGGCCTTTTCTCTATCCTTTCCTTTCTCAAGCCTTTTACCTTTACAAGGTAATCAGTTTCAGTCTCAAGAATTAAATATAATATCATTTATCAGATTGATGTGTTCATGGAAGAAGAAATATATATTTATAAAAGGTAAACGTTAAATGTGGTTATTTTAACTGATGATCATGATGATGATCATCAAATGAAAAGATATCATTGAATTCATTATTCTCAATGCAAATTGTATTTGCAAAACTTTTGTTTTCCTCCATGTTACTCTTGGTGAATCGAGTGAATGTGAAAAGGATAAATAAATGATCGTAAGCATTTAGTTTTTTCTTTCGACTCATTCTTTATTCGCAAATTCTACTTTTTTTATTTTTCTATTTTCTCTTATAATTTATCTTTTTTTGTACTGTATTTTCAAAGACGAGACATTCTTTATCATTGTCGAACTATTTGTTAGCTTTATCGCAACTATTTAAACTTCAACTAGGATTGAAAATTGTTTCAATCGATTTGCAACAAAACTTGGAAACGGCAAAAATTTTCATCAATTTTATTCAACTATTACTTTTTTGTTCATCAAACTTGAATAAAAACTTATAAACTAATCTCATACATGAGATTTGTTCAAAAATTGAATGTTCAGGGCTATTCAGCTATCTTTACCGATGTTAAACGGATAAATCTTGTCCTGTGATTGACCTTGAGGCCTCAGATTTCTTATAAGAAAATTCCGTCGATACTTGTTTGCTATATTTCAAGGTCATTTGTCGGAAATCGCTCCTAACAATATTAGAGGTCAAACTAAGGTCACATCATACTTTTCAAACTCTAATAATCGTGCTGGTTCAGTCGCGTCACTCTTACAAACGTGCTTCATGAGTTATCCACATTTAATTTGAGAATTTAATTCACATAAAATGCACGATTTTCAGAGCTCATAATCCGATTTCGGATGGTTCCGAAATCCAAAACTTCGTCTGGTAATTCATTACTCATTCTAAAATTATTATTTATTCCCCAGTTGGCAAAAATTTGTTGAGAATTAGCACGGGTGAAATTTATTTCAACGCGAACGATGATATTCAGAATTAACAAAAACTCTAAAAGTGTAAAGCTCAGACATCTTGTATGACAATGCTTTGAATTTAAATTTAACAATTTAGAATTTGGCTTTTTAAAGCGATTGTGGTGTCATCTATCTTCCGCGTGTTCTCAAGTAAAGGTTTTTCTCATTTTCTGGGTCTCGCCAATTTTTATCATGACACATAGATAAGAAATATTGTAACACATTGAATTGCCTAAGAATCGCATTCAGTTCGTTATATCCTCCCAATGGTTGGATAAGAGACATAAGCTATGCACTTTTCATAAAAAATGCGATTCTACCGATTCTCAAATTAAAATGTGGATAACTCATGAAGCACGTATGTTAGAGTGACGCGACTGAACCAGCACGATTATTAGAGTTTGAAAAGTATGATGTGACATTAGTTTGACCTCTTATATTGTTAGGAGCGATTTCCGACAAATGACCTTGAATGACTTTGACCTTGAAATATAGCAAATAAGTATCGGCGGAATTTTCTTATAAGAAATCTGAGGCCTCAAGGTCAATCACAGGACAAGATATATCCGTTTAACATCGGTAAAGATAGCTGAATAGCCGTGTATATGTGTGTCAAAAGTCTGAGTGATTGAAGTACTGTTTGGTTTAAGATTTTTCAAGAATAAGAAAGAACACATTTTTTCGAAATTAACTCAACAAGAATTTTGTACATTCTTTTCTATAAATACTTATTTGATTGTTTTTCGAGAATTTTGAGACGCACGAGTTCTCTGAAAAGTTGCAACTGTTTGCACAAATTATTGAGTGAAGATGCGAATCAAAATTACAGCAGTTTTGGCTATTTTGTATCTTTTCGATATCTTTTGTCATATTTCAAGTTCAAGGTCATGCTAGGGCATTTTTCGTGAATCGCGCAGGAAGACTTTAGAGATCATTTCATAATTTTTGACCTTGGAAAATTATTCTGATGAAGTTTTGACCTTCTGTTATTAGTACTTATCGATTTATTATGCTTTAGATCGATCGACCGATTTTCTGTTTCAAGAATAAGATCATTCTTTCAGGAAATCAAAGGATAAAATCTCTTATTCAAAGACAGCAGAAAGTCACGTTCACAGAAGCACTATGAAAGGTTTTGATTTTTATCTTGATATTTAAAGTTGCCCTTTTTGATCTCAAAATCCCATAACTAAAAAATCTCATGTTAAAAGATTTTGTAATAATGCTTTAATTTTTAATAATAAGGGTCCTTACTCGATAAGGAGGAAAAAAGGCTCTTCGTTTATTTTGTAATCTTACTATTTGCATTGATCGCAGTAATTTGCTTTCTCCGAATCAAATACAGTTTAGAGATGATAAGGTTCCCATTCCGTTGCATGAATTTTGTTTTCAGTGGAAAAACTAACTTTAACTTGATCAATAGAGAGTTGCGAATCATTCATGAGAAGTTTCAGTTAACCAACTTTTCTCATTGGATAATATTGTTTTTTCCTTACTTTTCTCATTCAATGTTGAAATTGTTTTAAATCACTATTCACATGTAATTGGCTAATTAAATTAATGATAACAACAATTGAGTTGATGATAATGATTAGAAAAAAGCAAGTCAAAATGAGATGAAATAAAAAGGGAAAATAGGAAACGAAAAAAAACAGCAAAAAACAGAAAAAAAACAGAAAAAGCAAAAAATATCAAAAGGTTTCTAGATATTGATTGTAATAATTACTCAAGTTACTCTTTTCATTATTGCACACACAACGAGAAGCAAGACAAGCTAAATTATAATCATTTTCACTTTTTTTCAATCAATGATTTTTCTCTCCAAAATCGTTATCTTTTCCGCTACAACTGAAAATTGTTTCTCAGAAGAACTGATTTTTCCTCATAATTCAAGGTTTTGTGTAACCTAAGAAAAAAAGAATATTTTCTCTTGGAAAATCGTTGAACGAATGTTCAATGTTTCACCATTGGCAACACTTTTAATTTCAGCGTTTTCTTTGTTTTCCATTTCTTTCATCATGAGTCATGTAATCCTTTTTAAATTGTTTTTGATATCGTTACAGAAAAGGACAATCTTTACGTTGTGATTGATGTAATTTGATATCAACGAAAAATAATACCAAGGAAAGGATGAAGAAAAGGTGAAATCAGAGGAGAAGTTGATGAGGATGAGGAAAGAGGAGAAGAAAAATGGTGACAAAGATAAGGAGAGAATAATTTAGTCGATTCCAATGTGAATAACCTGAATAATCCATCAGAAAATTTGGAATCAATCACATTTGTTCGTCTTGACTGTTTGGACAAGAGAGAAAAGGAATAGACAGTGAAATGAGAAAAGCTCAGCAAAGTCAAAGTTGACCGTAAAAAAAGAGAAGAAGAGAAAAAACAAAATTCGAAATTCAAGGAAGGAAAGGAAGGAAAGGAAAAGAGAAAATGATGAGAAACAAATAGAACCCTTGGAATGAGTGAACTTTTCAAGACAACTCAATGATCCATGAAATAAGGTGCATTCCGTATCATTATTCATTCCAATCATTTTCAATAATAACATCAAAAGTGGTTTCAAAAAATAGGTTATCAATTTGTTTCGAGAGCAGAATCTTTTCAATCCGATAATTATTT